ATGAAATGAATCAAGGAGGATGAACTTGAGATTTGATTTTGTTCTCACCAATATTAGAGTGCAACCTTTTTTTAATTATTTATTTGTAATTTTGTATAATAGACATAATTTCTACATTATGCAGATTTATTTTGTAAAAGATTGACTGAATCCATCATTTAGATGGTTTTAAAGGTCCTGAAGAGAAAAATTTAGAGAATCTTAAAAAAATAAATTCAGCACAAATAACACATTTTTTCTCAAAGCCAAATGTTGACACGATCAAAATGATCATTTTTTTGCAAAACATTCAAACTAAATTTGGGTCAGAAAAACAATGGTATTCAAAAGGGATAATGCACATGAATTGCGCCCTCAACAAGTATTTTTCATAGTCATACATACACACTGGAGCAACAACCACCCTAAGGTCCATAAAAAGTTGTCAGGAGTTTGTTGAGATATACAACATCAAAATCGGAAGTTCAAACAAGACTGTCACCACGTTGAAATGCTGTATGAATGTGTCTACAGTTAATACATATGCCACACTTATATGCACACCTTAACCCATCAAACCATTACTGAAATGCAGACACACAGACTAGCAGACAGACTGACTAGCAGACGGATGAACTGACAACACCACAAATGGTATAAGCACACAAAAACCAAAACACATCAATACACTCACTGATCCACCTCGTACACGTACTGAGGGGGGTCTTCTGTTAGGGTTATTGGCCCGAAATTTTGTAGGATGCGTTAATTTCTCTGGAGACGGCTGTACAGCATCGAAGATTTCTGCAAAACAAAAGATGGATAAATTTGTAGGAAAACCACAGATTTGGCCAATATTGAAGTTAGTTGTTTTACATGGCCGTCAGAAGGCCATCTTGGATCACATCTACTGTGAAATAATTTATTTTAGCTGGAATTAATTTTCGCTGAAAAGTGTTTTTGGGTATTTTTGTATGGAATTATTTTCACTGATTTCTGATGAGTTGAATGTTAAATATAGGGAAATGGTATATTCGCCGGATTTTATTTTTACTGAATCATTCCTTCAGCGAAAATAGCGAAAATTAATTCCAAGCGAAAATAAAAGTATTTTACAGTATAATTCTATAAACAAGCACTGAAACTCTTATAACATGATGACAATTAATGCATATAAGTATAAATATTATTCACATCATCAGATTACCTGGTTCTTTAAGTTTATTACTATCACTAGACTGTCCAGGAGGTATAGGTGGTGCCTTCTTTTCTTTTTTTTCTTTCTTCCCTTGAACAGGAAGTTCAGGAAGTTTTGCAGATTTGCCACCCACTGATTTGTCATCTGTGAGTGGTGAAACAGAGTTAGTCAGTTTTATCTGTTTATATTATAATGTATGTCTTTCACAGGGATTGTGATAAACACAAAGCCAAAATAAAAATTTGTTTCTAGTTTTTTTAATATTGCTGGTATTTATATTTTAATTTAAAAATCTCCCGAAGGTTCAGACTTGGCTAAAAAATCACTCATGTTAGGTAGACATAGCACACTCATTCATATGCACTGCAAATTACAACCAGAAACAAACAACTTTTTTGGGGTTAGGGTGGGGTGGGGGTGTAACATAATATGAGGAATATTGTGTTAAAATTAAAACAAAAAAAACATGCATATATTTATGCATCATCATTTATGTAAAACAATGTACATAAAATACTTAAAAAAGTAAAAACATTCAAGAGTCATTGTACAGTGCTTATTTTGAAGTTCTTGTAAACAAACAATGATTGTTACATGTACTGGATACGTAACTTAGGAACCAATATCAAACATGATGTGGTGTAATGTTGACAGGACTTTAATTGTTCATCGGATCACCGTCCCTCAACGATGATCGGATTGACCAATTTGGGAAAAAAAAAATAATCTACATGTTTGAAAATTATGTTACAAGTTATCAAATGTGATGAGTCCATACAATAGTAGGAAAGGAAGCTCGAACAGTAGAAAAGAGGTCACAGCAGAACGACAGACAAACACACAACAGACAGAAACGCATAAACCAATACATACACAGAATTCCTAAAAGATGTGGAAGATATTAGAGAATAAAGTTTGAAAAATGGACAATAAATGCAGTTATCTATTCATACAATAAAGTAAAGCTGTTGCTTCAGTGATCAATCAATATTCCATGAACCAAACTGGGAATAATCCTGAATATTGACCCTCAATGATTTCAATGAGCTTTCTACAGCTTTGTGTAAAAAGCCCCCTTCCCTAAAGCATTTACTATCACCACATGTACCATTCAAACACCAATATAATGAGGTAGCAATCAAAATTTCAATTCAGTAAATAATGTTACTTCCAGACCAGTACTTTTGACTGTGGTGCTGATTAAGTTGTGTTGGGTGGTGTACATACACAATAAACCAGTGCGTCGATAACATGCCATTATATACCAGATTTTGGACTTTG